TTCAGGGTCAGCTCTGATATTGCATGGCCATATAATCTTGGATTCAACTCCTGCACAAACAGGCAAAGTGGCTGAAAGGGTGGTGTGAGAAGGAGTTACGAGAAGCCTCATCTTCACCCACAGACCTATCACCACTTGGCCCAGGAGCTCAGTGGTGGCTAGGTGCTTGCCTGAGCTGTGATGTTGGGATGTCTGTGCCCAGCCTTACTGACCCTGCCTGACCCACAGACCAATTCCACAGTTCAGTCTTGACCTGCCTGGTCACTAGTGATCACTGGTCTGTAACCCTGATCACCACCACCGGCCCTGCTCTTTGCACCTTGCTGGGGTCCAGTAGGACTGTGCCTTTGTTGGTAAGGGCACTGCCCTGCCTGTTCTGCTGTGCCTTCCTTACAAGGTTACATGTACATTTATCCATGCCTGTGAGAATATTTTGGGAGTATATGGGCTGGAAGGGCCTCGCCATAAGTGGAAAACAATCCCAAGCAGAAGGGAGATCTCCTTTTTTTTTAAAATAACAAGCTGCCCAGAAAATTGAACCTCTGCCTCTGTTCCTAGGCTGTATCTTTACTCACCTTAACAATTTCACTGTAAACCTCTGAGTGGTTTTGGTAACATGACTGCCCAAAGAGATTCCTTATTTCTCGCATGATCCCCTACAAAACAAGCACAGCACAAAGCAGCCTGTTTTCATGTATTATGGCAAAAACTGGTAATTTTTGTTTCTCAGGTTGTGTCAGTCAGTAGTAGAGAAGTCACTCATTGCAAGCTTTAGAGGAAGGTCCCATACAAGCAACATAGGGCACTCAGTGCCTCAGCCAGCTTTGTATCATGGGACACAGAATCATATAATATCTCAAGTTGGAATGGTCCCACAAGGATCATCAAGTTCAACTCCCTGTTTCTAATAGGAATAACTCACCTCTTAGAGAGAAAGACCTGTTTTATCCAGTGCTGCTCTCAGGGTTGCTGGAGCGTAGCTTTCTGCATCCCCATCCCTCTCAACTCCTAAGTTATCCCCAGTGCCATTGCCGATAGATTTTGAGCAGTGTCTTTAGCAGAAGCAAAGTTCTAAATGAATGGCAGATGCAGATGGCCCTTCTACCCCACTGCCTAGGTCCAGTTACACAGAAACACAAAATACCTGTTTGCTGTTGGTCATAGTGTCATTTGAAGGTGGAATGCCAAGAACTTTAAATATGTCAGCTGTTCTCTGCTGTAAATCTTCCTCACAAGCATCAAACAGCCTCTGCAGTGCAAAACCAACAGCTGATTACAGCGGCAATCACAGCGAAACAAGAGGCGTAGTGTGGAAAGCATGTGCTGAAAATGCATCTGCATTAGAGTAAATTGTAGGGACACTAATTGATTGAAATGTGTCTTCATTACCTGTAAAACAAACTGTTTCATTGAGCTACTTGCATACTGAAGCCCATTCTTCAGCATCTGTGGGGCCTTATCATCACCATCAATGATAATAATGGCCTAATCTCAGTCTTGTCCTTCAAGGTGTATCATTTTGGTATTTTCCATCAGATTCCTCCCAGCGTCAGAGTAGTGAGTCAGACATCAAAGTGAAGTCTTCCAGCTAGTAGTTCAAGCATTAACCATAAGAAAACTGGACTGTTTTCCCACTTGGGCTTAATATGGCTGTGATATGGGACTGATGTTTGAATGTGCCCTTCTGAAAGGCAGGAGGAAGCAGATCACTGTCAATTTGCTCTCTACAGCGTTCTGTAGGCCCTGCTGGGCTGGAAAATCAGAGATCCAAACTAGGGCCCCAGCCCCGTCTGGTACAGAAATACTAATACTCAAGGCTGCTATACTGGCTGTACCATATTGATTTGATTAGAATCAGATTGAAAAAATAGACAAGAACAAACCTTAATTATGTGACTGCCTTGTTCATACGTCCAACGGTGGGATGTGGAGATCCTGATTTTTTCCCACTCACGTAGCCGGAGCATCTCGTACCTCTCCAGCACAGCAGACAAACGTGAAGGGTCATTCATGTCCTCAGAGTGCTTGTGCATGGCCATCACTTTAGACAAGAGCTCTGCATTTCTAGGGTAAAAAGGATATAAAAAACACTTAGCTAAGACAGGATGAAACAATGAATAGGTGTAACTATTTTACGTTATGAATCTATTTCATTAATCCCATGTTCTCTACAATGCGCTTCTCAACTACATTTTGTAGCTGCCAAACAGCTTTCATGTGGGAGATAGTGCTTCCTCAGCTGAGTTTTGCATGATCACAGTGGAATCTGATCAGGATGCCATCTTGACTGTGTCATTGTAGACTGGTTTCTTTAATTAATATGTTCAACCTGGGGATGTCTCCTTCCTTCTGTCTTCCAGAAGTCAGTTACAAAGAGATGCCAGCAGGTTGAAAGTCCGAGGAGAAGGTGTCCGGGCTGTCTGGTCAGAAACAGAATCCCTAAGGACTGGAGGAAGCACGAAGTATGTGGGTTTTCAGTGTAGAAACACACAGTACTTTCAAAATATGAATAAATACCTTACCTCGCCTCTAGCTTTTTGATCTGCCCTTTCAGCTTCTCATTTTCCTCTTTCTCTTGAAGGTCTTTTCTGACAGCCCTTCCAGGAAATGCTCTGAAACAGATTTCTATTGTGAAATATTTTATTTGTACTTGGACACTGGCACAGCAGAGGACTCACCCCTATTGAATAGTCTGAATTCCAGAAAGAAAGCTGGGGAGTGGGAAAGCACAGAGCATCCAGGAAAAACTGCAAGGTAGCTTAACAACCTCCCCTGAAAGCCTCCCCACAGGATTTATGCTCAAATCAAGGGGGAAGCTATTTACATCAGAAGAAATGGAGGTGTGGTTGTGAGGATCATTATGATTCTCCCCTCATATATAAATTTTTAATATAAAGAATAGCATTACCTGTTGCAACTCTCCAGATGTTGTAGTCGAGTATTAACAGAATGAGACCAAACTCTGTTCTCCTTGTCCATCCATCTATCAGGGGAAGAAAGAAATAATAAACCACATTACAGTCAGCAGGCAAGTATGTATTAAAGTCTTACAAAATGCACAAGCTAAACTTCCTCCTTCCAATTTCTGATCAGCCCATAGGGAAAAAAAATCCAGAGATGAAAACTTCTCAAGGCTATTCTTTGACAGGTGGGTGGTTTGTGATTCTGTGAGTCAACAGCAATAGTACAAATAAAATATTCCCAAAGTGTAAGATCTGCATATAATATGGTGCAGATCAAATGGTTTCTGTAAATTGGCTCTGCATTCCCAGTATAGACTGGATGAAATTTGTTGCTAACTCAGAACCCTTGTGTCTGGCTTATTTGTAATCTTCTGTCCAACCTGCCCTAGTGTGCACCAGCTGCAGTTGATCATCAGGGGCCATGCTAAACACAGTAATTTCTGGTCACTGGACTCACTCTATAACATTTTCCACATTTGTTATCCTTTTTTCCAGACTATAATAGAAGGCCTCCAGGGTTGCAGTCTGCTCTCCATGGGCTGGTGGCTGCCATGAGTTGTCAAATGTATGTCTGAGGAAAAAAAGAAAAGGGAATTCTAAAATGAAGGGGAAAAAGGACACATACTTGAAACAAATACCTTATAATAGACAGTCCTGTGAGCAGAGGTTTCATGACTACATCCAAGCTAGCAAATGGATCAGAGACCGGACAAAGGCTCCAGGGCACACTGATGAACTAAATGAACTCAACCCAAAACTGCAGTGTGTGGGGAACAGCAAACTCAGGTGACTAAACCCAAATTTGCAATGGACGAGTGTGGGGTTTTTTTAATAGAGAAGTACAAAGCTCTGTGTTCTCAAGGTAATTTTTTTTTCTACAACTGCTCTGTGTCTTGTTTCCTAATGAGGATCCCAAATATCAACTATTATTGCAGAGACAGTCCCAGATTAAAGTGCTCCTGCAGCTTGGAGGCAGATGGAAAAGAGAGCAAGCTCCTCTCTGCAACCAGATGTCAGAGGAAGCCTAAGCATAAGGCTCTGCCATTGGTTTATGCCAACACGAGTCTGCACAGCTGATGCAAGGGACTGTCCTGCCCCTCTCTCTCAGCATCTCCCCCTCTGCCATTGAAGCACATTTTGGGTTTATGTACTTGAATGGATTCCTTTCCAGTTAAATCATTTCCAGTCTTTCAGTAAAGACACTTTTTTTGTTCTTTAAGCTCAACAATCCAGTATAAAATTTGCATTTTAGTCAGCCTTTCCCTGCAAAATGGATGAGCTCAGAGTCTGAGTCCCAAAGTCCTGGATCTTGTTACACTGTTTATACTGATCTTTCCAATTTGTCTACCTCTTACACTGATTTAAGATCTGCCTCAGCTTCTGGAGCTGAACTTAAACTGAACTTGAGGAAAGTAACCATCCCTGTGATGGATAGGAAGATTAGGAAGAAGAAAACAGAGCTTTTACTGAAATATTTCATAGTCAGGAAATGTTTGCAGTCTTGCATTGCAACCCCCCAAGGAATTTTGTAGAAATATTCAGACCTACTAAGGTTAAACTTGGTAAGTTTATCCAGAGACATCTCCTGTGTAACATACCTGCTGCCTTGTGTAGTCATCATTCTGGGATCAGCATCCTCACGCTGTCCTTCCAACACCTCTGTTCTGCTGTAGGCAGAAGAGTCATGTGTAGCCATGCCTTTATAGCAGCAGCAGATGTTTGTTGAAAGGAGTGGGCAGCACCAGGGATGCTCCGTGTTGTCGGGAGCACGGGAAGCTACTGAGACCTGACAAAGGGTCTTTGCTGCTGTAAAAAGCAGAAGCCCTCTTTACAGGAAAAGGCATAGGTCGAGTGCCACACCTCTCTCCAGCCAATAAAATCAGTGGAGGTGGACCTTCACCCTGGACCGTCAATCATTTCAGTTTCGTAATGGTGGACCTTCACCCTGGAGCATCAGTCATTGCAGTTTCATCCCACTCCCACCTGTTCACTCCTCTCTAGCTCCCAGAGCTGCACACCTCTGCACTGCAGTTGGCCATGGCCAGCAAGTCAGTCTTTGTTGTTGCTATAGATTTTGGCACATCCTACAGCGGATACTGTTTTTCTCTTGCTTCAGGTACAGACCAAATCCGCCAGGTGTACTGGGGAACAGAGCACGGGTTCAAGAGCCCAAAGACACCCACGTGCATCTTGTTCGACCAGCAGCAAGAGTTCAAGAGTTTTGGCTATGATGCTGTGATGAAGTACAAGAGCCTGCCCTCCAGCAAAGCTGAGAGCTGGTATTTCTTCCAGAACTTCAAGATGAAGCTGTACAACACAGTAGGTGAAACGGTTACTGCTATAGGAGTCAGAGCTATTATTTATTTGTGGCGTGGGGGTTAGAGGACTGATGAAGACGACTGAGTAAATCTGGCTGATGAGAATGAATGAACATAAATCAAGGAGTATTTTTATGAACTGAAGAAGAAATTATTTATTTTTGTAATTAGCATAAGCTTCATGGGCCCTTCCTTTATGATGTTTTTTAATTTTTTAAAGACATTCAAACCTGACTGTGTACCTGGGTGAAGCCAAATACAAGTGTGCTGATTTTGGCTGGAGTAGAGTTAACTTTCTTCACAGTGGCTAGCATGGGTCTGTGTTTTGGATTTGTGCTGAACACAGGGTTGATAATATAGAGATGTTTTGCTGAGCAGGGCTTATACAGAGCCAAGGCCTTTTCTGCTTTTTGTACTCCCAAATCTTCGTTCGCGAAGCCTAGCCATGAATGACTGCCACGTTGGTGAGGAAATAGGGGTACATGGGAGGCTGGGAGGAGACACAGCCAGGACAGGTGACCCCAACTGACCAAAGGGATATTCCAGACCATATGACACCATGCTCAGTATATAAAGTGGGGGGAAGAAGGAGGAAAGGGAGATGTTGGGAGTGATGGTGTTTGTCTTCCCAAGTCACTGTTATGTGTGATGGGGCCTTGCTCTCCTGGAGAGGGCTGAACATCTGCCTGCCTGTGGGAAGAAGTGAATTAATTCTTTGTTTTTCTTTGCTTGTGTATGTGGCTTTTTCTTCCCCTATTAAACTGTCTTTATCTCAACCCATGGGTTTTCTGGCTTTTCCCCTTCCAGTTCTCTCCCCAGTCCTGCTGGTGGGGGAATGAACAAGCGGCTGTGTGAGGCTTGGTTGCCACCTGGGGTGAAACCACAAGAGTCCTTTTTGGCACCCAGCATGGGGCCTTCCCACAGGCTACGTTCTTCACAAACTGCTCCAGCGTGGGTCTCCCGTGAGGCCACAAGTCCTGCCAGCAAACCTGCTCCATCACAGGCATCTCACAGGGTAACACCCTCCTTCAGGCATCCACCTGCAACCCTGGAGGTTCCAACAAAAGGGAACATGTTCCTAACAAAAAGCTGCCCTGTTCCAGAGCTTGACAGAGAAACTAGCCTCCCTCTGGGGCTCCCTGCCTCAGTCCTCAGGGAGAAACATGGAACAAGTGAAGTTTCCTGTAATTCAGAGAAGGTGGGCAGCCTTAAGAGCTCATCCCATGTTGTATACCTCCTACTAGCTTGTCTCTCCCTCCCCTGAAATGTTATGTTGAAGCCAGTTTAAGGATGGACAGCTGTCTTTCAAGCATGTAGTGGGCTATCATTTCTCTCTGAAGGCTCTGTGCTAGTTCAGAATATTTCACAGCTTTATCTGAGTTTGCTTGTTCAGCCAAACATCAGGCTACCTCAGGCCTCCCTGTCTGTGCTCCAGAGTCCCACAGGGCCTCTCAAAGTGTAGAATAAACCAGAGCACAGGGCCAGTCCCAGACGAAGTCTTATGTCCTCTCTTTGGCATTCACCAGTGCTAAGCAATGAGTGCTGAACTGGATGCCATGGTGGGTGTGAGGACTCTTTGAAGACTTTCCTCCCCAGGAAGCTGGGAATGATGTGATTGTCACAATGTCACCTCTGGAGTGGTAGGTTCTCACTCACTTCCAGAGGGGGGCTGAAGAGAGGTTTTAGTTCAAAACCATTTCTCTGCATCCGAGGAGCAAATGGTTAAGGGAAATTTCATTACAGAATCACTCCCCACTGGCTCTTCAGAGGGATCTACAGTATCTCTACAAACTTGAGCCTAGGAGAAACAGCTAAATTATCAACCATATTGATATTTTGCCTACTGAATCATGGATGTGTTTGGTAGCTGACCTGTGTCAATTAGGCTGCAGTTAGCCACAGTACTGAAGCCAGTGCTTGGAGTTTACTCAGGTTTGGGTACGATCTCCTTCTGTGCCAAATGCTGTGCAGTGCTCAGTGTGAAGGGGACAAGTCTTGTACGGAGATTGCAGTGTGTGACCCTGAGACTTTTTCTGTAGAATGTCACAACTGGCATGGAGCTGAAAGCCACCAATGGAAAGATGCTTCCTGCCCTGACAGTCTTTTCTGAAAGCCTGCGCTACCTGAAGCAACATGCCCTGAACACCATTGAAGAGGCCTCTTTCCAAACCATCTATGACCAGGAGGAGATCACCTGGGTCATTACTGTCCCAGCCATATGGAGCTCTGCTGCCAAGCAGTTCATGCGTTTGGCAGCAAAAGAGGTAAAAGCAGGGGTTATCTCACTGCCTCAAATTATCTTTGGAGGTTTCTTTGCCCATTGAGGCAAAGGAACTCCTCAACAGGTAAACAACCTGTATTTCAAATTTCAGTCCACCAGGGAGAGAAATCTTCCACACTGAGGGTGGTAGGGGAGAGGATGTCCCAAATTGGCATTAACAACAGCTCTGGTCTTTCCCCCCACTGTCATGTAGAAATGAGCCCCACAGAGATCAGCGGTGCAAGAACCACCACCCCTGCGTGGGCTCCATGTGAGAACAGTCTCCCTAGCAGGTGGTGTTCATGCAGCAGTAATCTCAGCACCTTTCCTTGAACTGAATCCTCTCTTCTGTGATTTTAGGCAGGAATGATCTCTGACATGCTTTCTAAAAATCTGATCATTGCCTTGGAGCCAGAGGCTGCATCGCTGTGGTGCAAACAGCTTCCACAGGAAGGGTTTATAGCAGACAGCAGTGACAAGAAGAAGTTTGAAGACTCCCCTGGGATCCAGTATATTGTTGTTGACTGTGGAGGTAAAATTTTCCCTGATTAACAGGTACCATCTTTTCTGGGCATGGAGCATGGCTCTTTCACAGTGTCCCCAAAGGTCTGCAGTGCAGTCCCAGAGCTTGGGCTCCACTGCTTGTGCTTGTCATGGGGTTTTTATTTTTATTTCTCACTTAATGAGATCCCACAGGCAGGCAGAAAAATAGGAGGAAAGAACAGGATTGTGTTTCACACTATAGTGTACTTCAGGCCAGACAGTTACAAGAAGAGCTCCTGCCATCACTCCAGATCAGCCTGCACCACATCCCAGCACCAGCCACTGGCACACACCCACGTGCTGTTCTATAGCCTGAGCTCACAGCCTCCTCCATAGGAGCAAGTGTAGTTAGTGCCCAGTGAACTGACCAAAGAGATTAGCTAGCAGGCACTGTGGAGTAAATAGTTTAAACTATTTGATGAAGCACTTCTTAGTAATTTCTCTAGTTTCCTGAGTGAGATTTTTTGGTGTGATGTGATTTTTCTGCTAAGAGCAGTCTGGTGATCATGAACAAATACTGAAAAGGCATCAAGAGGACCACAAGTTCCTGAGAGTCTTATCAGCGCTGTTCATCTTTACTCAGAGCTTGCATATTAAAAGGCAGGAGTCAACTATCTGTGTGAGGAGGCCAGTGTCCTTCTGTGACCAGCAAAGAGATTGGCTTGTTCAGGGAGCAAGTCAGAACATCCAGCTCTTATTGGAAATGACTGTAGGAGCCTTGAGAGACCAGGCTTGTAAACAAAAGTGCATAAATTTAAGAAATTTAGAGAAGTATAAGAAATAGCAGAGGAGTGAGAATGAGAAAAGAAAGCAGCAGAAAATCACATTTGCAAACCAGGAGTTAGGAAGGTAAGATTATATTCAGTGGAAGCTACAGACCTCATGTACTTAAAGAAAACAGCTAAATTCATTTCTGTTTGTGTGTGTAGGTGGCACAATAGACATCACAGTACACGAGATCCAAGAAAACCATTACCTGAAGGAGTTACACAAGGCAACTGGAGGTGGATGGGGAGGCAACAGAGTGGATGAAAACTTCACTAATTTCCTCAGGGAAATATTCAGTGATGGTGTATGGGATGAATACGTAAAGAGCCACCCTACTGAATTACAACATATGATGTACAACTTCAGTCTACAGAAATGCTCTGCTAGCAGAGAGGCAGTCTACATACATTGCTACTACAACCTGACCAGACTGGCAGAGTGCAAGAAGAACATCTCCCAATTCTTCAAAAAAGCAGAAGGAGCTTTGTGGTGTGATGGGATGATCATGATTACATACGAGAAAATGAAGAGCTTGTTTGACTACAGTATCAAAAATATAATTTGTACTTTGAGGGAAATTCTTGACAAACCTGGGATGGCCAAGGTCCAATACATTTTGCTTGTGGGGGGCTTTGCGTCTAGCATCATCTTGAGAGATGCGATCAGTCAAGCCTTTAGCAAGAAGTATCATATCCTTTGTCCAGTGGAGGCCCAAGCAGCCATTGCAAAAGGGGCTGTTTTGTTTGGAGTCAATCCACACCTTGTTACCTCAAGAATCAGTGCCAAGACATATGGTTTAAAAGTAAATCAGATATTTGATTATGCTGTCCACGATGTCTGTAAACAGAAGGTCTCAAAAGCTGGTGGCTATGTTTATTGCACAGATCTCTTTCAGAAATTGGTGGGAATTGGGGAGTCAGTGAATATAAATGAAATTGCCCACTATGATTTCTCTCCAACAGAACCAGATCAAAAAAATGCATGCTTTGTTTTCTATTGCACAGAAAAACAGGATGCTCAGTATGTAGATGAGGAGGGGATTGAACAGCTTGGGTTCTGTACAGTGCCAATGCCAGACACACATCTGGGGATGCAACGCCAGCTGAAGATGGAGATTAAGTTTGGGCTCACTGAATTTAAAGCTACATGTAGTGATCTTACTTCCAAAGAAAGTCGGACAGTTCTAATAGATTTTTTAACTGTATAAATACTCAGTATATTGAGCAGCAGAGACAATAAGTCTAGGGAGAAAATGGCTTTAGAGGGAGGCAGTGTGGTCAAAGGTTGGACTTGATAACTTTGGAGGTCTTTTCCAGCCTTAATGATTCTAATGATTCAATGAATCCTACAATAGAGGAGGCATCTGTACCAATAAGTCCATTATATACCTTTCTGTTTACACAGGTAAACTGCTAGTCTGATTCTCTGGTTCCTTCCATTGCTCACCAATCACCCTTTCAATCCAATACAGCACTTTCTGTTGTATCTGACAGCAGGTTTATCTGCTGCTTTATCTCATGCTGTTTTAGCTTGCATCTCTGAACACAATAGTCCATACCACCAATATAATCATCTGTATTCTACCTGTATTTGATGCAAAGACTCTGGATAGCGTCTAACTTCCACATAAACCATCCCACAGCTGTTTATTTTAGCCTGGCATGTTCTTTCAGCTGCATCCTCTTTTCCTCTGATACCAGTTCTCTTTACCTGGAGTCTAGATTTAACTCTGCTGGGGGTGACATTCAATGGATTTCTGTTTTCTTCAGGACATCACTTATATAAATTGTTTGTAATTAAAGTGTTTTTATCCTAAACAGGAGCGCTCTGTGAAGCAGTCTGGGGGCTTGTGTCCAAAACCTGTGGGAGTATTGTTTCTGTTAAATTATTGGGTGGTTTGATCTCATTAATTGGGCAGATATGAACACCAGATTGTAACATTACAGGTATGAATAGTACTTATGCTGCTGCCTGAGCCCCTCTGCTTGTTTCCCAAAAAGTGTGCCAGCTGTGCTAGATGCCTGGCACCCTATTCTGCAGATTTGTAATAAAATCATGTATCTAAATTCAATGTGCTAATTGGCTCTTGCACACTGGGTGAAAGGGCCCTGCCTTAGGGATAACATGCTGAGGAGCATCACCCCTGTTAGAAAATATGTCTCCTCGTGCAACAGAAATACACTTAAGAGCATTCATCTCCCTTGCGGTAATAAACAAAACAAACCTTGAGAGAGGAAAAAGAAATAAACCAAGCATGCCTCCTCTTGCCCCAGGGTGGGGATGTGAGTGTCAGCAACAATGTGATGACTTTATGATTAAACAGCGCGTTTTTCAGAGCTAGTCCATTTCCAGGCCAAAAAAAAAGGTTTCTGGAGCTTTTTTGTTTCAATCTCTAGAGACTGCTGAGGTGTAGCATAGATGTGTATAGCCCTGTTAGAGATGTCAAAACTTTATGAGGTATTATTGTGTTCATCTTACAAGGACTCAGCAAATCATGCAAGTGGAAAATAGAAGATAATTTTCCAAAATAGTAACACTGGAAGATGAAAGACTAGAAAAGCATGTCACAAAGAGCATAGTGACATGCTTGAGGGAGGACGTCATTGCTTTGTCAGGTCAGGGATTGCCCTGTGCTGCTCATACCTGGCTTGGCACCAGACAAAATCGACCCATTGCATCCCAAGGCTGGACCAACCAGGTAAGTTTATGGTGCCTCTATGGAAACATAAGGGCAGGGCAGGTACAGTACCCAAAGGGACGGTGACCAGTGGAAGAGCCCATGTTGGAGCAATTGACAAGGAGCACCAAGAGCAAAGGGACCCCCACACACCAACTCCCAGCTTCTGCACCACCCATGGTCTCACCAAAGGGTCTGGTGGCAACAGCAGCACAGGGGTGGGGAAACAGGTTGGGGGGAAGCGAGACATCTAAGTATTGGTTGGTTTGTTACTTGGCAATAAATTGATTGAAAATTCTCAACTCGAAACAGGAATTTTTGCCCCATGACATTGTGTCTGACTATATATTGAGTGAATAGGGACCTTTGTGCTGCAATGTTCCAGAGGAGAGTGGGGGAGAGCAGAGGAAAAATCCCCTAGGGAATCAGGGAATGTTTTGGATTGGAAGGGACCTTAAAGATCATCTTGTTGCAACTCCTCCACCATGGGTAGATATACTTTCCACTAGACCAGGTTGCTCAAAGTTCCATCTAACCTGGCCTTGAACTCTTCCAGGGATGGAGAATCCACAAGTGCTCTGGGTAACCTGTTCCTGTGCCTCACCACCCTTGTAGTAAAGAATTTCTTCCTAATATCTAATCTAAACCTACCTTTCTCAGTTTAAAGCCATTACCCTTTGTCTTATCACTACATGCCATCTCCAGTGAAACAGTCTACCTCCAGCTCTCTTGTAGCCACTTTAGGTACTGGAAGATGCTATAAGGACACCTCGGCTTGTGAACTTCCACAAACAAAACTAGAGGGGAGGGAAATGAAGGATGAACAAGGGAGGTGAAGAGGCAAAGACTAAGAAAGCTAAGAGGGAAGACTCATCCTTGAGCAATGTGCATTGCTACCACAGCTCAGGCCAGAGGGCTGGGCTCACAGCCACGCTCCAACTTCTCCTACTGAGATGGTCATAGCAAATCAGGGTGCACCAGGTCTGCAAGGAGAACATGACAACTACAGAGAGGAAGAAAATTTGCAAGCAAGTAATTGCAGATATTAACATTCCAAAGGGAAAACAGCTCTACCTCCATGTTTCAGACCTGCTTGAGCCATTTTATCTTTGACTACAGTTGGTGCTGCTCTTTCTTCAGGAGTTCACTCTCTCCCAGGCCACCTATGAAAAGCACCTGATGCACTTTCTGCTCTCAGCCAAAAACTTGGTGCTTTCCCCACTGAACTTCTGCCAAGCAGTTTTGGCTCCCAAAACCTGGGAATTGCCAACCACTGTGGTGCTGTCCTTGCTCCTTCCCCTGCATTCATGTGCTGGTGACTGGGCTTGGGCAACCAGTGCTACATTGGCTAGTGTCTGCCTTCAAAGAGGCAGAGATCCCAGCAACACAATAAATATAACCCCCCCACCCTGGGATCTCCTGAGATCTTGGGAATTTTTCTGAGGATTTGGGGATGAGAAAGGAGATGACTGTGCAGCTTTTTATTAGACTACTCTTTGTTTACTGTGATGAAAAGGGAGAGGGAGGGAAGGTGCAGGGGCAAGTTTTGGTGAAGTCGTTTGAGGCATCCCTCAGCAATGGTGGGATACAACCCCAGCAAGTCCAATTAATCCCTGCAAGTTTGGAGCCAGCACTTTCCTTCTGCCCTAGGGTATCAGGCTGATTTTGCTTGCCATGCTGCATATTTCCCCCTCACATCTGTTTCTTCCCTCCTCTAACCCAACCCAAACAATATGAGGTTTTGTCTGCTCTTGGCATCCAGCAGCAGTTTCTCAAGCCCCTTAGCCCTTATTTTGTGTGCGTGCCCTGGACTTAACCAGAACATTCCTGCCAGAGGTTAAGCCCAGGCAGGGATAATCCAAGAAATATTTTTGCCTCCAGATCCAAGTGACCATGATGATAACAGGCTCATAGATACCATTTGCAGCTCCACACTGGCCCTTCTCCTGCCTCTTATCTCTCTCCCAGGCAGGCAGACCTTAGAGATAGGACAGAGATCCCAGCTGCAAACCAAGAGGATTAGGGCAGTGAAATGCCTGTGTTCCTGGCTTGGCTGAGCTGAACCATTTATCTTCTGTGTTACAATGAGGCGGCTTTCTAGGGCATTGTGGGCGTGGATGCTGTGCCATCCTGCCATCACTGTCCTTGCAATGCTGTCATTTTGAGCTGGCAAAGCCTCCCACCCACATGAGACCAAAGCCAAGAGCAGCTGCGGAGTGAGCCCTGCTACACCAGAGGGGTATGGGGAAAGCAGTGACCATCGCATGAAAGCAGAACTGGAGATAGTTGCTGGAGCTGGAAATGGGATCTTTGGACTGAAGGACTAAAGGGTGCTGGGAAGAGGGGACATTAGAGCACCACAGTGCCCACAGCATAGCAGCGCTCCTGGGGAGAAAACCAGGAAAATTAATGCCTGGGCAATGATATCCCTCAGGAAATGGGAGCCAAGCACTGGCTTTGGCAAGGGTGAGAGGGGAGGAGAATTGATCTTTTTCTTCGCCTCTGAAAACTGCCCTTTTTTCCCTTTCTCTTCTCAGACAGTGAGACCTTTGCTGTGGCACCTGACCCACGGTGAGAGGGCTTGTCCCCCCTCCTCATGTGGTTAGTTTCTTTCCTGATTAAAAGTGATTAGGTAGCCCTAAAGCCTGCAGAAATGTGACCGAGGGGAACGGAGACAAAGAGTCCCTTCAAGATATCTTAAATCCCCAGGGCAGTATTTAGAGAGCCCTGAGGAGAGAACTGGAGCTGAAAGACCCTGCCAGGACCTCCCTGTCCTTCTTCCTCCTGCTGCACCCTTCGTTGCCAGCGTCTCCTCCACCATGTCGTTCTCCGAAGCAGAAGTGCAAAGTGCCCGCGGTGCCTGGGAGAAGATGTATGTGGATGCTGAGGACAACGGGACAACTGTGCTGGTGAGGTAAGGAAAGAGCCCATCCAATTCCTATGCCAGAGGGTTGAAGGAGGAACAGCAAGAAGGATGGAGTTAAGGCCTAGGAGCATGTCTTGATGTTTTTCATGCAGCCCTTGCTGGTAATATTTTGATCTGCTGTGATTTATCCCATCTCAGGGAGGAAAAAAGGAAGAGGAGCAATCCACACAAGAAAAAATAAAAGGAAAGGAGGAAGGGGTGGGAAAAGAAGAAGAGATAAGAACAATTTCTTTACCCATTTAAGGTAAAGAAAAGAAAGTGTGGTATGAAAGAGAATAGGAACAAACCGTGGGCCTTATTTCCCTCTTCTCTTTACCTCTAAACTCCTTTAATGATTTTTGTTAACTTCTCAGTATTTCACTTCTGATTCTCCTTTGGCCTTTCCAGTCCATCTGTTCCATTTTATTGCCCCCTTCTGTCACATTAAAAATGGGAGTTTAGATTTTTGTCTGTTGGGATCCCCAGGAGAGTTGAGACCCTGGTGCCCGACAGTCAGTCAGCATTTTGTAATGAGACCCTTCACCAACAGATTCACAAGATTGGAGGGTACCTTGACCTCCCTTGTTAGGGGGAACTCACCAGAGCCAAGACCCCTCAGCAGGTCCTGCCAAGGTGTTATCTGCTGCTGGCGACTGCAAGGACTCACTTTAACAGTTTACAAATAACACTTTTTATTAATACAATTTGTGACATTAATAAGGTTCGAAGGTTGTCAGTGATAGTGTCTACTGCAAAAATATTTTTAAAGCAATCTACTGATACATACATTAAGCAAGCACAAGCTCTCATACGAAGCAATCTAATATGCTATGGGGTAAGCATAAGCAAAAGCTCTAGTCCTAAGAGCAGCATTTAATGCCCATGGAGTATATTTCTCACCCAAGGCACCCCTCTGGGGTGGGAGAATATGGACTCAGCCTGTCGACTGATCCCAGCAGTTTCGGTGGAGGTTTTCTCCCACTTTCTCCCTATTCCCAACTTATTTTTGTACTATTTTCTTTATGTTTGGGTGGAGTTTGAGTGGCTCTAGTCATAACTACTTCTTATTTCTGATTGGTGTATTTAATGGGAGGGAGGCGGTGGTCATGTTTTGGCACCTGAGGAGGGGGTTCAACATGGTTCTTGGCTTCAGCAGCAGAACATCTGGATTCTCCCTTATCAGACAGGTACCCTACGGTCTCAGTACCACAATGTTCTTCCGTACTGCTGGGATTAGAATGGAGGGGGGCCACGTCATCTCCACTTCGTTCCACGCTCCGTTCTGTTTCTCTGAGCGGCGTACTGGGGAGTCGTACTGGGGAGCATGTCAACCTCAGTCCATCCAGGGAGCTGCAGCTGCTTTTTACCTTAAAATTCCGAATACCATACCCTCTAGGTTTAAATCTATCCATCACCCCACACCTTCCTATGGGCTTTCCCCTCTGTTTTCATCCTGTTTTCCTCTCTTCTCTTCTGTTCACCTTTCACATATCCCTCACTCATCTGGGACTTGTATCACCTCCATAAGCATTGATCAGTCTAAATACTATTTCTGGTTATCAGACCTCTACCCCTCCCTCTGGCTTTCTTGCCTATCACATCTTATGCCTGTATTACCCTCAAAAAGTGTTACACACTGCTCTTTCCTTCTGCAGTCTACACAACCTGAAGGCCAGTTAGGGTCAGGATGCTATTAGCCATAAAAGGCTAATAGCATCCAGTAGCTTGGCTCCCTGGGGTTATTTACTCTAGAAGATTTTGCTTTAGAGTCCTACAGCCCCAGACCTGTCTATAGAGAAGTTCAAGGCTCCCCAGTACAAGAGAGACATGGCCATACTGAAAAGAGTCAAGTGAAGGGCCAGGAAGGTGATTAGGGCATTGGAGTATCTCTCCTATGAGGAAAGGCTGAGAGAGTTGTGACTGTTCAGCCTGGAGAAGAGAAGGCTCAGGGGGAGATTATCAATGTGTATATAAAAATCTGAAGGCAGATTATAAAAAGGAAGGCAGAACCTGCCTCTTCTTAATGGTGCCAAGAAACAGGACCAGAGTCAATGGGCACAAACTGAAACACAGGAGGTTCTCTCCGAATATCAGGAAACACTTTTTTACTGTGAGGACTGCTGAGCACTGGTGCAGGTTCCCCAGAGAGGTTGTAGAGTCTCCATCCACGGATATACTCAAAAGCTGTCTGGACATGGTCCTGGGCAACCGGCTTGACCAGTGGGGTTGAACCAGATGACCTCCAGATGTTCCTTCAAGCCCAACCACTCTGTGACTCTGTGAAATGCAATCTGGAATTTGCTATTGATACTTCAGGGGGATAACTGGTTTACCTAACAGAGTAAACTGCTTTTTTAAGAGCTTGATGAAGATGACTGTAATTGATTAAAGGCAATTCTAAATATATTGAATTGTGTTACTTTTGAATAAATGAAATGAGCAGTAGTCAAACTATAGTCAAACCCAATAGTCAGACAGCAATCCATCACAGGCAGGAAGAAAGCTTTGGGATGGACTCTAGGAAGGGGTTAATTAGCAAAACCAATAATAGATTTTCTCCATGAAAACACCCATCAGAATCACAGTGGTCATATCTGCTGTCCAGAACATCTTTGGGAATATTATGCTGTCACACTTACCTCATGTGAACATGCTCCCACTTCCCTGTGTAAGTAACCTAACACAGAGTTAACACTGAAGAAAAGGTGAGGGAGGGGACAGGCTGCCATGGGCATAGGGCGCTGTGGACAGATGCAAAAGGCAAAGCAGAAACAAGAAATGCAGGGGACAGAGGTGTCTGTTCTAATAAAGAGAAGGAAAAAGGGCAATAAATGCATAAGATGAGGCCTGGAACGTTTAGTCATATCTGCACTGATGCCTGGGTTCACAAGTTAGGATGTCTCTCATTTCTCAACAGGATGTTTACTGAGCACCCTGACACCAAGTCCTACTTCACACATTTCAAAGGCATGGACTCTGCTGAAGAGATGAAACAGTCGGACCAAGTCAGGGGCCATGGCAAGAAGGTTTTCACTGCCATCAACAACATGGTGCAACACCTGGACAATTCTGAGGCTTTTCTTGGGATAGTGAACCCACTCGGCAAGAAACATGCCACTCAGCTGAAGATTGACCCCAAAAACTTTAGGGTGAGCCAGTAGCCCTCTTCCCAAGGGGTGTAATTGTGAGGGGAGGATGTTTTCCCCTTTGAGGAGTAGAACTGAGGAAAACAGGCATTTCAAAGTGTGCCACCTACCTAGTGACTGTAAGGACAAATGAACCTTCATTGCTAAAGAGGGCTAGATAGTCAACGAGCAGGAAAGATCAGGAAGAAACTTAGCCCCTCAAGCCATGTATTCCATAAGTGTCCAACATGGGGCTCCTCGTGGCCTCTAAACATTTGGGACAGTCCACTGATAGAAGAAAGATTGCAATGGATGGACCAAGTGAATCAGTCCTGTAAAGCCATCTTTAAGTGATAGGTGCAGTCAACAATAACTAGATACATAGGACAGTTAAAAAAAACAGCAGCAGTGACCACATTTTTTTGTGAATTCTATAATGCACCATATTGTTGATGCCCTGTTACAAACTCTGCATGCAATATGCTGCAAATAGCTCCTGTACCCCTTTCTGCCTTCCAAGAATCCCAACTAAAGATACATGTTTTGCTCTTATACCTCTAATGTGGAGGAAAGTTCACACTGGTTGTTTCTTCCCTTGTCCTTGTTTAGATTATCTGTGACATTATCTTACAACTGATGGAGGAGAAATTTGGTGGAGACTGCAAAGCTTCCTTTGAGAAGGTAACCAATGAAATCTGCACTCACCTGAATAATGTCTACAAAGAGGAGGGTTGGTGAGGATGTGCACCCTCCATGCTCTTCAAACATCTTGATAGCACTGATTTGCTGCTTTTGGGCCCCCAGCCCCAGCTGGAAGAATGAAAATGTAAAAATAAAAAAAAAAAGGCAAGAAAAAAGGCTTATACAATATAGATATCAATGTCAATAATTTCCTTAGCAAAATGAGTTTCTACAGCTAAACAAAACCCACAGATACATCACAGTCAACCAACAAATCCTGATGTGCTTCACAGTTTCAATGCTCCAGGTGGGTTCCTCTGGCCACTGTCCTTTAAGATTACATTTTAAGATGATGACTTTAAGCTTGCTATTCCTAAAAGAAAGACTTGCTCCTTCCAGCAGCACCAGCAGCTCTTTAACTCATCTACCACCTCTCCATCCTCATGAATGACAAGGAGGCCATTTTGAAGCATCTCCAGGAACTTGGTAGAGGTCATTGTTTAAGGGGCATGAGTGTCGTTTTGTGTTTGACATTAAACAAAGGGGAAGTGGTGTATGGGAAAGACTAAGAACTGGGAAAGACATGGGGAAAGTCCCTTCTTGCATGAGCCAGCAGAGTTTTCCAGTCTTGGTTTCTCAGGGCAGTTTTCAGCACGAGGGTTACAACAATGAATGTGGTCACCACTGGGTCTCTCTGGGCAGGCATGAACATCTCCAGGCCATGGATTTCACAGCGTAACTCCCAGCAAATTACTCTGGCTGTGTTCCCTGGTGAGGGCAATAGCACCGAGCTCACTGGCTCCTGTGCTACTCAGAGCGCACCCAGCTGAGGGAAGCTGCTGCCTCACTGAGTGGGTGGCATGGTGGGCTCAGCCCAGCATGTGACATCCTGTCCAGTTGCACAGCCTCAGCCTCCCTTCAGTGGTAACTGAGTCCTGAACTATTTAATTGCTTTTCTTCGTATTCCTTAGACGTGGTGAAACAATCAGCTAATAACTGCAAATAACCACATGCTGGTTTGCTTCAGTGTAACACAATAAACACAGAGAAAGCAGATGCGTCCTCTCGTTTGTAGCACAGAGAAGGCGATGTGCAGCAGTGGTAGCTGGTTATAGTGCACGGTTACTGGTGGTACTGCAGATTTTACCAAAACCAGCTCAAATTCCCACCTGGGCACCCATCACACTCACAGCAGTCAGGCTTCGCAGGTGATGTGAAGGGAAGCTTTTCACTTGACCATGAAGCAACAATTTTGTAAACAGCTAAAAATGCAAAGTTCTCCTTCACTGAACGCATAGTTTTCCTCACCCACTCCAATTGTTTGGCAAAGGATGCTAAATCCCAAAGTCCAGAAGATGAACTCTTGCCAGAGAGGGAGGATGGGGCAGGCTGCTTTATTTGCTTCGCTATTCTATTTGGCTCAGGGAGAAGGGAAAGCATATTGCACAGCATTGTCAAGGATTGTAAAAAAAGAACAAGACGTGTAAAAAATATTTATAGCCTCAAATCCCTGTGAGGGAGTACAAGTAGTTAAAGCTCTGAAAAGCTCAAAATAATTTCCCCTTTTTACTGACTTGCCTTAATGCATGTTAAGAACACCATTTACCATGAGGGTGGTTGGCTGTAATGACCTGCTCTTCATTGTCACAGGCACCCTGGGCTGACAGGGGCCTGCAACACTGGCCGATGGTGATTTAAGGCTCTTGTGTTCCCTGCTCCTGTGATGCAGAAAGGTGTTGCAAAAGCAAAGCATGTGAAACAAACCTAATTCAGGCTGCAGTAAAGAGTAGGTTATTTTTAAAATCCATTTAGAAAAGGGGGATACATTACATTTTAAAAGTTTGTGCGACGTGTGTGGTTTAGGAGTACATGGCCCCCCTTTTTTTTATCTGAGATTTCAAAGGATGGCAGAAAGCTTTTCCAAAAGAGCATAGATTAGACAACATCTTGAGATGGAGAATAACTGAGCTGAGTTTCCGGTTTTCCAGTAGCCTCACTGTTCAGTCCTGTCCAGCTTTCCTTGCATCTCACTGTGCCTCTGCAAAACAGCAACATTCATGTACTTGGGAGGCAAACCAAACATACTCCTTACTTACTGAACCGGTAACTATGTGGTGCTGTGCATACTGTATGCATTCTTCTGGAAAACTGATTCCATGAAGAGAAACAGAAGGGAAACATCATACCTAAGGGTAGTGGGAAGAGATTTCCTGTGGAGCACCACTGGTGAGTGGGACCAAAGCCCTCACACCAAGCTTCATGGGTTTCTTACAACCTGTGGGACATCAGAAAGATATGTGAGATAACAAATCTGTGATGTAGCATGGGTAGTGTGACAAGTGGCTGTGACATGTTAAATCAGCTAAATGCCCTGGAGTTATCTTTGTGTCTGACCTAAGCTAGAACAGTGAAAACACATGGAAAATACTGAGAAAGGGGAAGAGGAGTGAGCAGAAGCTCATGCAGGAAGTTTATCCACTCAGCTAGTTGAATCAAAGTGCTTTGCTGGTCATGTTGCTGGAGAAAAAAAAAGCATTCCCACAAAAAAAACTTGACCTTGTAGAGACCCACTTTCCTGATTCAAAATATTACCTAAACACTGTTAAAACACATATGTACTTGAATTTAACTTGAAAAACTACAGTCACCATGGTGACAAAGCAAAAACTTACCAGAGGAAGGTGCATTGCAAGGCATAACCCTGTGCAAATACAAATCAGTGCTGGGATAAAATCCAAGAGTGGCAGCATCACCAAATCACTCTGAGACAAGGGCTACGAACATACCATGGCAATTTGAAATGACAGGGAGTGTTTTACAGAAGTAGCTAACCTAGCTGTCAAGGCATTTGAGCCCAATAATTTTCTTGCTAGAGTCTGAGCCAAGCTGCCTTCCTGTCCCTGCCTTTATGACAGGCAGCAGAGAGGTGAGGTGAGGTGAGCAAGGTGGGGAGGTCATCTCAGATACCCTGTGACTGCCCAGATGGGGGACTGGAGACCCTGCAGAGAATCTGGAGAAGCTTCTAGGAAATCCTCCTAGCTGGGTCCAGAGGGAAACCCTCTAATGTGCCCACCCTTCTTGCATGAAGGCCATTGGTATTGTTGGTGAATGAAGTGAAGGGGTGTTTGAGCTCTTTTGCCATAGAGCTGTGGCTGTAGGTACAGATATGTCCCTCAGAGGTGTTGCTTTACACTGAAAGTAGGGGCTTCTTCAAGATACCATTTTAAACATTGTTTTGCCAATCTGTTTTTCCCCGGGAACGAGGATGAAGGAACACAGACACCAACTTTAAAGAATAACTTTAAAGAATACTATAGTGTAAAACAGTAAAGAATTACAAAAGAAACAGTGGCTTATGAAAGGATACACTTAGCAATGCATCTAACCTTTACTACAAAAGAGTCTATAGTGATTAGAGAGGAATACATCACCAGTTACCCTATAACACTTTACCATCACCCAGACCGCACTTCAGCTGGGGAGGCCCTGATCACGGCAAAGGACTGGAGAGCCTCTTCCTGGTAACTGGGAAATCCTATGCAGTCCATCAACTAGTAGGGTGAAGCCTCCATCTTTGCTGTGAGAGGGTCTAGAGGGTCCAGCTTATATAGTATTAAACAAACCAGCTTACATCACTCAATCGGTGTGGAAAACAATCTGGCTTTCTTCTCCTCTCGGTTTTCCCATGAAGCCTGGTCAGGGCTCAGTGCAAAATCAGGGAGTCAGTTCAGACTAACTACTGTCAGATACCCCCATGGCCTTGACTAGTCTCTAAATACAGAGCTACGGCTACATTTATATCTCAAATATGAACCAGCTGCAACCATGTGAGGCCTACTGCTTTCCCGGCCTTGGCTGAAAAGAAAGGCACAGTTATAACACATACAAGCCTTACTAATTATTAATAATATGCTGTGCTAACAAGCATAAATATGTACTTTTAAAGCATTACTAAGGATTATACACCATCTTGGTTAATAAGCAGATATATGGCTAAATACAATACTAGGCTGAATATATTAGGTTGGAAAATTAATCTATAGGTCAACCTTGGCTCAGGGCCTGTTCTTCAGGCCCCAGCACTACAAACACCCAATGATGGGTAGAAGGCAGTGAGGGTACGGCCCAGACAGGAACATGCTGGAAGCAGCAATATTTCTACCCCATGTTTGGTACCAGGGTCGTCGCTTCTTTTAGAACTGGAGAGGAGCAAGGAAGCCCTGTTAGACCTTCAGTTCACCTTCCTTGCTAAATAAAAGGCATCACAAGGCTTGAGATGGCACAATGTGTGATGAGGAAGGATTGCTGCCTACAAAAGATCATACTGAGATCTGAGAAGTGAATTGTGATGTCTGAATCAGCACTAGGAGCCAATGGTCCCTGGAAGAACAGAACAGCCACTGAATTCAAATGTCTGTACATCCAGTGTGGCACTCATGTCTCATAAAAGCAGAGGTGTGACTCATGCTGCAAACCAAAAAAGCCCCCAGACCTATTTTAACCTTCTCAGTTTTCAATATTGCAAAATATATATTTTTTTCTTTTGTGACAACATCTGGCTTTAGGGAAAGGGGATGAGAAAGCAGACACCTTTTTTCTTTACCTTTGCTAAAGCTAATATTGGGATAACAGACGTGCAATTGAAATAGCACTGAGTCTCAGTTAACCTTATGGGCCATACCAGAGCATTTCCAACTTACGCAGTGAGGTGGGTTTGAGCCAGTTCAAGGCACAATTATACTGGTCAGATTGCACATGGGCAGCATCAAACAAGCCTAAGACACACAGGACTGACTTTTTCCTGGTGTGAGTCAACAGCATCCCAGACTGAATCATTTGCTTACTCAGTGGGCAACAGAAATGTCAGTGCTGCTGTACTGTCAGAATATTTTGTGTGCTTGCCTTGGAGAGCCCAGGATTCTGCTTCTGAAGTTCTTGGATGTGCTTGCTCAGGAGGATGCACTGTGGTGTGTCTCTTGCTGGCAGCAACATGGTGCTTCACCTCCCCTCTGCACAACCACAAAAGTGGACAAATTAGGAACCTACTGCTGCTGCTGGTGCTGCTGATCTCCATACAGCCTCCACAGGCTGTCCAGCAAGGACACCTGGCAGCCACTGACCATAGCCACCAAGCAGAGCAGGTGGATCCCAACATCATGCTTAAATGTCCCATTAGCACAGACCATCAGCAGAGATTTGCATGGGCTTACAAGCAGAAATAAAATTTTAGGACAAGGAAGAACATTGGAGCTGACATCTGCAATATGGTCCCACCCTCCATCAGGGCGGTGGCTGCCCCAGCCTGGTAGCAGTTCTTTACTCCCATTGTTCTGCTGCAAACCAGTATGAGCTTAGGAAGACGGCAGCAACTTTAAAGTTACAGTAGTTCCATGCAAAGTCCCCACCCACTTACCACCTTCCAGTGATGGAGACAGAGAGCCCTGAGCCGGCCTGATGGTGCCTGACAGCCAGTGCTGTGAACTTGCCTTCTTGGCAGCCTCTCTGAGCCAGCACCTGGAATGATTTCTAACCTTTGTGCTCTTAACTGAGCATCACCATCAATACTTTACTACAGTCAGCATTTGTCAGATCATTTCAGCCTGGCAAAGGGCTGTACAGCCACAGCATTTTGACCTTGCCTGTGTCCAGCCCTGCTCTGTTGGTAGCTAATCCTGCCTCCCTGATGGTGCATCTCTAGGACTTTGCTTGCCTGCAGTGCCCTGGCAGCACCACTGAGCCTGGGAAGGGGATTTGGGACTGTGGTTTCCCCAGCAACAAGAGGTGAAAAGCCAGAGCCAGGAGAGAGAAGTCATGAGAGAATTTTCTAATTGCCTGCTGACTCCATTATATGCCCACAGACAGGAAAGCAGGGATAAAGAGGAGAGCCAGGGCTAGAAACAAACATTTCTTCTTCTTTCCTTGTATTTCCAGCTGCTGATACAACTCCTGCCCAGCAGTCTGCTTTTTCCCAGTTTTGTAGGCTGCAGTGAAAGCTGGATTTCAGGTCTTACTGAAAAGAAGAATTAAAGAATTACA